CTATGATTAAGAACTATAATTAAATTTAAGTCAGCCGAAATGCATCAAATTGCATATCATTTGAATCGCCTGATCACAAAGAACACAATGACACCATTTTTTGAAGCTCTAGCCTCATAGTATGCCAAGTTATTAGCATACGTTTGACCTTAGTTGACCTCAGCTGGCCCGACCCAACCGTTCTTGCAGCTTGCAAACACCAACTAGATGTAAATCAAGGTACCTAGTACTGAATACAAAAACGTTAAAGGGACACTCCCACCTTAACATTAGTTTTGAGTTGAGATAGCCAAATTGGTGGCCATGGCCTGCAAATACCGGTTTGGGCACTCACAACATCGACAAATGCTTTAATTCGGAGATATGGAATTTCAAACTTGCAGTTTTCGGATTCTAATGGGCTAGTGCATTGGTATGCCCCCTTAGAATTTGTGACGTCAGCGGAGATCTAACGATTTTTAAATCTTTTACTAAAACGTTTGGTAGCACGCGGTGGTATATGCTGCTTTGCGCGCAACAAATGCCGCACTTTCAAATAAAGTCGCTAGGAACAGCGGAGATCCCAAAAAGTAAACAAAAGTAAAAGTCTAATATCTTCAAAACCGGCGAATATTTTTCGATGAAATTTGGTAGATATTCGTTTTCGCTCTTTCTGAACCGAGCGACATCACTTTCGTGCCAATTCATTAACTTTTTTGAAGGTGGGAGGGTCCCTTTAAAATAGAGCACACATCTCTCATCTTTACACATTCGGGCAAATCTCCTTAGAATTTGTGATGACCTCTAGATGACCTCAGGTAAACCGAATTTGAAAAACTGGGGTGCATATGATGGCACTAGGTGAGCGAAGCATATCCTGCAAGCTTGAATCAAATCAATGAAGAACTCTAGTTTTCATGAACAAAATAGTGCATTTTTAGAGCTGTTTTGACAATGTACCGGTTTTTGTGACCTTGTGACCTGACCTCAGGTCACTGGAACTTTAATCTACTAGGTAAATTGACAAATAGATGCGCCAAGTTGTGTCTGAAATTTGGTAGCACTACGTGTCATAGCACTCACGCTATCAACGAAACACTCTGGCATTCAGTTGCCGCTAACCTAACTAGTCCAAGTTTCCCCTGACCTTGTACTGATTTTTGTGACCTGGTGACCTGACCTGAAAAGACTGAGACCTGAAGTTTGCAGGATAGGTGCCAAAAGGCTGCCTCAGAGGGTATGCCAAATTTGGCGGCGCGTAGACGTTATTTGCGAAAACCCTTAGAGGGGGTTGCATCAACCTCCCCCCTCGCCGGGAGGATGCTATCTCCAATGTCCAATGCACGAGTTGAGTGCTTCGGGGCGCCTTAGCTCCGTTCTTTCTTAGGTTTGTCACTGTCAGACTATAGCGGCAGACTTAAAGCGGTCACACCAAGCCATGCAAGGTCGTACCAGGCCATTAGCAGTTTTTGGCAATAACTTTGATAGAGACATCCTCAGACCAAATAAAAGTACATACCTGAAACTATCAAATCAGGTAACATGAGCAGAATCATTTCTAGTAAGCTATGTCAAATGTTCCCCATTTCCATGCATAATATAAGAACTTACAACTAGCATATACCTTGCACATTTTTTTTTTTTTGTCGGATTTAAAGGGACCCTCCCACCTTCAAAAAAAGTTTATGAATCGGCATGAACGTGATGTCGCTCGGTTCAGAAAGGAAAGAGGGAAAACGAATATCTACCAAATTTCACCGAAAAATATTCACCGGTTTTCAAGATATTAGACTTTTACTTTTGTTTACTTTTTGGGATCTCCGCTGTTCCTAGGCACTTTATTTGGAAACATGAGTTTGGCAGCTGAAAGTGCGGCACTTGTTGCGCGCAAAGCAGCATATACCACCGCGTGCTACAAAACGTTTAAGTCAAACATTTAAAAATCGTTAGATATCTGCGCTGACGTCACACATTCAGAGGGGTATTCCTATGCATTAGCCCCTCTGAATCAAAATGCTGCAATTTTGAAATTCAATATTTCCGATTTAAGGCATTTATCGATGTTGTGAGTGCCGAAACCGGTAATTGTGAGCCAAGGACCCCATTTTGGCTATCTCAACTCAAATCTAATGTTAAGGTGGGAGGCGATATCCCTTTAAGCAATTAGTCGTGCAATGCAAAGTCAGCAAAGTTGATGTATTGACTTTCATAGACATACATTATGTATGATAGCGACGTGTACCTACCTACATCAATGTGAACAAAACTTAAAAACTAGCCTTATCGCGTTATATTAACACATCGCACATCCTCGTTACAACACGACGGGGGCAATCTATACACGAACGTATATATGACAATATGTAAATATGTACTATTGCTTCCAAATTAAGCTTGATTCGCGTCTGGCTCTAGTACTGCATTGAATACCCTCCCGAGCCCCTCCCGTATCGCCAGGTTAGCTGTCCCGGTGAGGTGCGTGTCAGACTGAAGCAGTGCGTGGACCTTGCGACTGTCAGTCCGCGCCTGGGGCACGGACACGGGTGTGGCCTGTGATAATGGCGGGCACGTGAGCGTGACGCATAGCTGGGTCACATTCTATCCAATCAGGGATGATGAGAGCGCCACAGTGCAGTGCACAGTGTGGCCGAACACCAGTTTAGCGCGAATTTAATCCCAGCGCCGCTCGAATCCACTGAAAATGGTTCCCTGGTTCCAAAACTGACACTCACCCCTCGCCGGACCTATTTGATTTTCAAAATACGCGCCGGCCGAAAGGGGGGGGGGGCGAATACGACCCCCGTCGCTGTTTCGCCCCTGCTGGAGCTAGAGCCTCGCGGAAAAAGACGAGCGTGTGCGCCGTTACGAGACACAGCGACTGGTATCCGATTTTAAGGTCTCAGGTTAACCTGTGTCCTCTGAGGTCAGGTCAAGTGCCCCAAAGTACGGATTCGTTTTTTGTTAATAACTTCGCGAAAAAATGCCGCAGAGCCTCAATTTTGGCATCATTGTGTTCGCCTTGCTTAGATGCGTCGAATGGTATACTTTTTCTTCGGCTGAAGTAAACTTAAGGTGTTGACCTCGGGTCAAGGTCAGGTCAGAGCCCCCAGATCACGAAGCTGGTCGAAGGAGGTCATGTAGCATATCATTCGGTTCGGCAGGTCTTCCGAAGTCCATTGGTGGATTTCCCGACTCGCTAGCTCAATTTGATCGGGAGTTATTGACGAAAAACTATAATTACCCTAGTGACGTCATAAATGACGTCACGTAAGGCCAACAATGCAAAAGTGAAGCATCGTACCTTGCAAGAAGTGCATGAAATAACGATTTCGTGTGCTTGAGATAGTTTATTAGGCTGGAGCCTGTCCGGCCGCGCCGGCCCCGACCTTGGTCAGGTCACGCCGGGCGGCCGACTAGACATGTTCAAAGCTGAATCAACGGCAAATAGGCAAAAACTGGCAGCTGAAACTTGGTCGCTTATGTTCAGAAAGGTGCGGAGAGTTCAGCCATGCCCTATTCGTCATATCCATTTTTATCCATTTTGACATTTTTCAACTTCTTTATGAAATACTATCGTGAGAACGATACACATGCAGGGCTCCTATTCTAACTCATTAAACTCAAAAACCATTCATTGAAAAGCTACCATAATAGTAGAAACAGCTTCATGATGAATTGTGCTATCCGGTGATATGCTATTTTCTCATATATCTTCCCGAAACTTCCGTAAAATTTACATTAAAAACTGGACATATTTATCAGTACCATAGCCCGATTTCAGGAACCGGAGCGTGGGTCTACTTTCGGCAGGGATATAAGTCCTCAAATGGCAAAGTGGCTTAAAAATAAGGTTCTATCCGATAACTTCACACAATTTCCTACCCATTGATAGGTATAAAGAACAGTTTATCGAAAGTCGGGTTTTTGATTAAATTCGCGCTAATCTGGTATTCGGCAAGACCGTGCAGTGGTCAGGCCGATGATCGGGTGGGGAGCGCTGGATGGGCGTGTTACGGATGAGAAAATATTTGGCACGCTTGGCAACTCGAGTGCTACACGGACTTACGCTAAACCTTTTCACATTTTCTGAAGCAGGGAATCTATTTATGTCCTAGATGTCGCTGGCCGAGGAGAGTGCCTTCTCAGACATTATTTTTTTTCCATTGCACGAAGCTTAGCAAGCAATAGTTTTTTTATATTTTTGAGGTTTTTCGAATGCCGCTTACCACGTGTCGCATACGTTGTCCAGGAGCCGAGTTAGTGGGAGGGGGGGGGGGGGGGGGGCGAGGTGGTTGGCGCCGAGCACCTGCTTGGCGCGGGTTAATAATTATATTTGTAATAATAAAGTTAATAATAAATATTTGTAATACATGTTCAGATTATATTGACATTATCGTTTTAAATCATGCTGTGCTTATGATTATTACACGCAATATTGAAACTAGCGCATGTCAAAGCACCCCGCAGTAGAGCAAAAAACATTATCAGACATCGTCCAGGCCCGGGCCGACGTCTGATCACTGCCCTCGCCTCACAGCGACTTCTGTTTCGGGCGCTGGTCTCGCACGCCGGCTATATGTGCCCTTGACCTTTGACCTACGATGCGTGTCCTGGCTGAATTCCGTTCCGATCGCGCGTCCAGCTGCACCAGGCCACGGTTGCGGCCCGTCTCTCGCCGGGCGGTGCGCCCGAGCGCCGGGTCATGCCTCTGACGTCAGAGGCGCCCGAGGCCAAAATCGCGAACGCTGACCGACCACAGGTCACGTCGGCATCCCTACCCGCGTGTTTGAAACTCCCGGATGACGCAAGGCCCCGGATGTCAAACCTCTGGTCTATCGCACGGCTCGCCGAGCCGGGTATCTCGGTAAAACTCGGTCTTCGGTAGGGTATTCACTACAGTACTGGAGCAAAGTGAGGATCAAGCTTAATTTGGAAGCAATAATACATCTAACGAGTGTCTTGTTTGCAACAAATCACTTCCACTGATTAGTTAGAAAGTAGGCTCAATAGAGGCAGCGCGATTACAGACACCCAATTATATTAGGTACGCACCGCGACGATAAATCTAAACTTGTGCAAATGTTGGCAAAACTACACTTGAATTGAATTTGTGAGAAATCGGGGATGGCGTCTGAGCTCCGCGACTCAAAGTATCGCTAACATCTACAATCATGGCTTTGGTCACGCGAGACTGACCAGAGACTAGGGTTTGAGAACGTCACTGCATGGGATACACGTATGTAAGCAAGTACAAGTCCCGAGTATTTGGTATCACCTGAAGTTCCGCGCTCAGGGCTGCGGGGCTGCACTACACAATCGGAATGCTGTCCAGTCCAGGGAGACGCTCCGTGAACGAGTGGGTGGGCAGTGGCCTGGGGGTCGGCGTGGTGGGCGGTGTAGTTGGAGGCCGAGTTGTTGTAGTTGGAGGCCGAGTTGTTGTAGTTGGGGGCCGAGTTGTTGTAGTTGTTGTGGTTGTTGTGGTGGTTGTAGTTGTTGTTGTAGACGGAGTTGTAGTTGGCAGCGTTGTCGTGGTGGTGGTCGAGACGGGGCGTTTCTGCGCCCCCGGGTGGAATTTGGACGGCCTGAAGGGATCGGTGGGGGGCCGGCGGGCGGTGGGTCGCCGGTGGAACACCGACGGCCGGGCGGTGGGTCGCCGCCGCGGCCGTTCCGTCTCCAGCTCGGTCTCCGGAGACGGGGTGACGGTCGCCCCCCGTTCGGTCGCCGGCGCCTCGGTGGTGACCTGGTTCGGCCTCGCCGGCGACTCGGTCACCAGGGAGCCGGGCTGGAGCGGCGGGCGCGGCGCCAGCTGGCTCGGTCGGGTCGACTCCTCGGAGACCTGCGGCGGCACCGGCGACTGGGTGGTGGGCGGCTCCGGAGCGTCCGGCACACGGGCGGTGACGACCGCCGCCGGTCCGGCCGGCCTCTCCGTCACGAAGATGACCGGTCTGACCGGCGTCTCCTGGGCGATGACGTTGGAGATGACAGAGGCCTCGGTGGCCAGCTCGTCGGGGCTCGACTGGCCCGGGAACAGGAAGTGGGCGGACGCGGAGTCGGGTCTGGCCGGGCTGCGGCCGGGGCCCGGCAGTCGGCCGCCGCCCGGCGACTGCCAGCTCCACGGCGTGTCGCAGTCGTCACAGGGGATCCAGGCGCCGCCGCACGCGTTACACGGCCGCACGCCGGGCTCCTGGGATGGGTGCGCGGGCTCCGCAGGGCCGAACACCACCTCCCCTGGAGCGGGGTGATCGCCGCCCCAGCGCCACGGCACGCCGCCGGCAGGGGAGTCGGCAGTGGCACCCTCGGGGCGGACCGCCGGCTGCCTGGGTACACCGACGGGCCCGACCACCGGCCGGCTGTGACCGGGCGTCGGAGCCGGGACTGGACCGCCACCCGGCACGACAGCGAGCACGCCATGCTGTGGGCGCGGCACGTGCACGTGCGTGTGGTGGTGCACATGGTGCACCTCCTGTGGCGCCGCCGGCCGCGGACTGTGCCGGACCGGCGGCGGTACGTGCGGACCGACCAGGTGTGGTCGCGGCGCCTGGGGCCCGTAAATGACACCGGGCGGGTCCGGCCCACGCCTGGTCGGGCCACCAGCCGCTGCCGTCCTCAGCGGCGGCGGGGGCCGCCGCCGGGCCGGCCCTTGGCGCCGGAATGGCCCCTGTGGGTGAGGCAGCCCCTGGCGACGGAGGGGGGTCCGCCTCCGCTGTGACCGTCGGGGGTCGTCATTAGAGCTGTCACCCTCGTCCCCTCCGACCAGTCCCTGCAGCCACGCGGGCACGGCGAACAGTCGAGACGTGTCGAACCCCAGCAGACGGCCCTGTCGGGAGGAGCCGGCGGCCGGGTCGGCATCAGCTGGGACGTCCTCGCTACCTCCGGCCGGCGACACGGTCTCCGCCCGGTCCTCTACCGCCGCAGGGAGGTCCGTGTCAGCTCCACTTGCCGCCACAAGGAGGCCAGTGTCCGCTCGGTCCTCTGTAGCTTCAGGGAGTCCAGAGTCAGCTTCACCTTCCGCTGATGAGAATCCCGAAGGCGGCTTGGACGGCAGGGAGGGTCTGTCCTCAGCAGCTTTGACCGGCTCGTTCGGAATCTGATTTAGTTCGGGTGTTGTAGCTACACGTTTGTCTGTATTCTGACCTTCAGACGGCGTCACTGATGTCGACTCCACTTTCTCCTTTTCCGCACTGCTCTCACTTTCGGGCGCGGTCGTTTCCCGATTGTCCTCTGACGCTGCGGCCACTCTTTCTAGCTTCTCAGCCACCACTGTCTCTAACCCCTCAGCCGCCACCGCCGGCGCTGACCAGACGGGGCTGCACAGCGCTGCCGCCAGCAGCACAACGACGAGCCACCGGCGCGACCTCATGACGGCGCTCTCCGCCTCACTGACCACGCGGCCCTGCTCTCGGGAACGCACTGACCCGAGTCGCGCGGCGCGCGTCACCTCGGCACGGGCCGGCCCTGAGTCACCGGCCGCGGGCCCACTTTCATTCTCTGGCGGCTCGGCTGGGTCCGGGAGAGGCTGCGACCGCCCGCCGCCGTGGGAGGAGATTGTGTCAGCCGCCGCCGGAACCGGATGTGACCGGTGTGGGCCCATCGCCGGCGCAGCAGTAATGGGACGCGCGCGGCCGCAACTGCGAGAGCTTCCGGCGCCGGCAGGTCCGATTAGTCATTGCCAAATGTGATGGGCACCCGATGAAAAGTGGCGAAACTGACCAGCTGATTGGCCCGATGGGTGATCCTTGGTGTGCACTGCGTAGCCTTGCAAAACTCGCGAATCTGCCGAGATCCCTTGCTAACGGCACCGCTGCCTATTGTTCGACCTGCACTGCATGAACTGATGCGATTATCGAAGGAGGACGAGACAACAAGGGATGCTTAGGACGGGACGCAGTTAGTCTTGAGGCCGAGGGCAGAGGTAAATGTCGACAATTGTCAGCACTCAGCTCTTCCCCCTCGTCCAATCTATAACTTTTTATTTGCTCTTTTCGCTCTATCATATGATATCCAAAACGCTAACGTTCGATATTTTGATTCGCACACAATGGTTTTTTATGTTTCGTCTAGATTCATCGGAAATTATGGCTCACACGTTCCGCCGAATAACACAACCAGTAAAACGCCTTTTGGGCGTACCTAGAACGAGCGAGCGAGATAGTGAGCCCTGCACGTGCGGAAGGGCGAGAGGGTACTTCCAACGGGCTTGCGCAAAGCACCCTTCTAACCGGTCGCTAGCGGTGTAGGTACCAAATTTGAACGCAATCGGCCCAGCCGTTCCTGAGATCTGGAAGCGGCATTCTGCACGTGCGCACGTGCAAACGGGGTCCAAACTGACTTTTGCACGGCCCCCTACTAACCGGTCTCCAACCGTGTACCAAATTTGAGCGCAATCGGCCCAGCCGTTCTCGAGATCTGGAAGCGCCCCCTGCACGTGCGCACGTGCAGTAGCACCTTAACCGCAACACATGGGAATGCATTGCCTGGTGGGTGCCTACCTGTATGCCAAGTTTTAGCGAAATCGCCCCAGTAATTACCGAGTTATAGAAATGGGAACAAATTTGACACCTCTTATTGTTGTATTTTGCACGTGCACTGGGGGTGACCCACATGCATCGAGAGTATCCAATTTTTGGTAGAAAGGATGCAGCTACCTTATAAAAATTACCGCAAGTCAATCGCCCAAGCGGCTGCTGAGATATGAGCCTCTCAAAATCACTACTTTTGCAAAACAGCTTGAACACCCTTGACTTTTCACGTGGCAGTTGGCACGTGCCACGACGGCCACTGAGATGCATCAAAAGTAGTCAATTACGGGGTAGAAGGGATGGAGCTACCCAGCAAAAAAGACCGCAGGCCAATCGGTCCAGCGGTTGCTGAGATATGAGCCTCTCAAAAGCGTTACAGGCCGGGCCGGGCCGCTCATACTGAGATTTTTCCGTTATATTGAAAAGACTCGCTTCGCTCGCTGCGCTCGCTCGCTCGTAATTACCAGACTCTTGAGACCGGATTCGAGTCCACTGTTCAGTGTGATAAACTTGGCCTGCGAAGGCGAAGTCAGCGTATCCCAGTCAGTCTGTTGCTGAGTTGACGGCTTACTGCTGTCCATCCGTAAAGAAGCAGCTATAGGTATTTACGTGTGTTTTGAGGCAGTGGCGCCGTGCGCGGTAACTACTCTCAGACTGCAGGGGGGAAAGGGGCATACCGATCACCGTAATAGAGATCAACCTAGTTTCTCACAGGTTTTAGGCCACTTATTTTTCATCCCTTGACCTTTTCAACAAAAAAGAAAAAAAAATATTCAAAAAAGTGCGGTATTCCGCCTCAAAGTTATGGGGGCACCACCCCCACGGCCCCAGAGTTGGGGGACATGCTGCCCCCACTGCCCCCGGGCCCGGTTCCCGCGCCCCTGCTTTGAGGACGACGCACTGAGTGGTTTGTCTAACATGCATATTTGTCACATGTTGCCGATCGCGTCCCAGAGGCGATTTTACAGGGGTGAAGTCAGTTGCAGAAAGGGGGGGGCCAAATAAATCCCATTTTACCCCCCCCCCTAAACCTGATTTTGGCCCGGTTGCCCCCCCCCCCCGTCCCCCTTTGGATCCGCCAGTGACGGATCGTAATTCGTACGCAGCGTCATTCGAGTGGTGACGTGGGTAGGTATGCCCATGGATGAAGTAGATACTGGATCGGCAACTCCTCGATGTTTGCGACCACCGCTAGGTGGCAGTGGTGTCGAGCGCTAAGGACGCGGGGGAGCCAGTGTTGCCAGGTCTAGAGGTAAACCTCCAGATCTAGAGGTTTTAGGGGAGCGTTTCGGGGCTCCTGGAGGTTTTTGAAAAATGCCGGATTCTAGAGGGTTTTCTAGAGGTAATCTGAAAATGCGAGAAAGGACAATTAGCATCAAGGTCTCTTGAGAACTATATAGGTACTTAATTTCATGTTATTATTGCAGTATTGCATGCTTAAACACACTTTTTTACAGATTGATGGAAACGAAAAACCTTCTTTTGGCTTGTTTACTATTGAGGCTCTGGCCACCGTCTGCAGCTAAAAGTTCTCGATATACCGTGGGCACCAAGGCTATGTAAACCTGGGCACCAAGGCTATGTTAGCCTGGTGTCCACCGTGGGCGGACACCAAGTTATGTGGACAAATATGCGAAGGCATGCGAAGGATGAGTGAATTATCTTGATCGGGGATACAACCGGGTGTTTCAAAGCCCGCCGCCAGCTGCTGCCAGCGCGCTGACGTCACACTTTGGGTCTGTTCCAGTGTTGTTCTATATACCAGTAAAACGCCTTTTGGGCGAAGAACGAGCGAGCGAGATAGTGAGCCCTGCACGTGCGGAAGGGCGAGAGGGTACTTCCAACGGGCTTGTGCAAAGCACCCTTCTAACCGGTCGCTAACGGTGTGCCAAATTTGAACGCAATCGGCCCAGCCGTTCCTGAGATCTGGAAGCGGCATTCTGCACGTGCGCACGTGCAAACGGGGTCCAAAATGACTTTTGCACGGCACCCTACTAACCGGTCCCCAACCGTGTACCAAATTTGAGCGCAATCGGCCCAGCCGTTCTCGAGATCTGGAAACGCCCCCTGCACGTGCGCAAGTGCAGTAGCACCCTAATCGCAACACATGGGAATGCATTGCCTGGTGGGTGCCTACCTGTATGCCAAGTTTCAGCGAAATCGCCCCAGTAATTACCGAGTTACTGAAATGGGAACAAATTTGGCACCTCTTATTGTTGTATTTTGCACGTGCACTGGGGGTCACTCACATAGATCAAGAGTATCCGACCTTTGGTATAAGGGATGCAGCTACCCTATAAAAATTACCGCATGACAATCGCTCAAGCCGCTGCTGAGATATGGGCCTCACAAAATCATTACTTTTGCAAAACTGCTTGAACACCCTTGACTTTTCACGTGGCACGTGCCACGACGGTCACTGAGATGTATCAAAAGTAGTCAATTACGGGGTAGAAGGGATGGGGCTACCCAGCAAAAAAGACCGCAGGCCAATCGGTCCAGCGGTTGCTTAGATATAAGCCTCTCAAAAGCGTTACAGGCCGGGCCGGGCCGGGCCGCTCATACTGAGATTTTTCCGTTATATTGAAAAGACTTCGCTTCGCTCGCTGCGCTCGCTCGCTCGTAACCATGGTTCCAGTCGCACTTCCTAACACCTCTAAACTCCTCCAAGAGCCAGATAGAGGAGGTTGGAGCAGGGCTCCTTTGATTTGTAGGGGCTAGAGCTGACACTGGAACAGGGAAGCAATCTTGGAGGAGTTAAGAGGTGTTAGGAAGTGCGACTGGAACAGACCCAATTTGGTAGTGTTGGAGCAATGGGCTTGATGATGTCATCACGCGCTGGCAGCGGATGGCAGCGTGCTTTGAAACTGCGCCACGGTTTGTGATACGGAGGTAGGTATGGAGGTATATATACTTCATAATCAGCGGCAATGGAACAGAGGTTTCTAGAGGTTTTTACAACATTTTCTGGAGGTATTGGCATCACTCGACCTGGCAACACTGGGGGGAGCGGGTGCTATTCAAAACAATGGTCGGCGTCGCGTCGTAGGGTCGTTTGCCTTGTTTTTTGAAAAGTTAAGCCCCTTTGGAGCAGATTGGAAGGTTTCAGAAGATGCAGGAAGATGGCAAGGTAAGATTGGTAAGGTTTTCTTATGGTTGGAAGGTCTGAGTGGCCTAAGATATTACTGTAAAGAGGGGCTGTTGACGATACTGGCGCACATTGCTTCTCGCCGTATGTCGTCAAAAATCATATAATTTGGGCCGTAATTGGTTAATCACTTATTTATATGTTCAATTTTATGTTCTTTATATGTTTGTTATATGTTTGACACATCATATCTCAAGCTTATACATGCCGCTGATGATATAGCCATGGTTTTGTTTGTGACACAATTTCGGTCTTGGTAGCGCATGATAGGTGGTGGATGATGCATTGTTAGTTGTGAATTGCTTAAGTTTTTGATAAGTTTTTAGTTTAGCAAAATCAGTTAGTGTACCTATAAATTGGTCCACTGCTCACTGCTCAGTACCTTCTCACTGCTCACCCATATCAGTTTCCTACGTATTTCTCTGAATGGCTGACTAGAGTGCAACACACTTCAGGAGCAGTTAACTGGCATCATGTCATTTCAGCTAATTTTTATAACCTGCTTGCCATTTGCCAATGCCCTGATTTCAAAAGTAGAGTTGAATGATATTGGATCAAAAAACACATTTAGATAAATCATGTTCTCAGCCTGAAAAACTGAACCATTTGACAGTAAAAAGAAAGCCTAACGGCAGCCAGTGTCAACCACAAAAGAGTGCCGACCCTGGTCCCTGACATCAGCTTCCTTCTTTTCTCAAAAGTCGAAAGGTCCAGAGTTGTACGGAGAAGTTTGTGAGCTTCCCTCCATTGAATGATATATAACAATCACTTTTTTAGAACGAGTGCTAGACAAACTGTGTAGATATCAGATAGATTTAAGTAAGATCAAAGTCATTTTAAACTATGTAAGCCTAGCAGATGAGGTGTTAAGCTTTTGGGTACTTTTGTTAGGTAGTATCCTGTCAAGGTATTATTATTTTTTTTTTTGCTCAACATCATCGCAATGTAAAATACTTTTTTGTGATGTTGTGGCCTGTGGGGAAACAGTTTGCCTTGGAATGCCCTCACTCTCCATTTCATTATGGTATGCTCAGGTATCTAATTTCCCTCTCTCTATCTTTGTTTCAGATCAAAGAGATGGGTTCAGTTTTCACGGTGTGCTGACTTGAATTGGCATCCTGTGATTTGTGATGTGAATTATGATGCACGCACTCGCAGGTGCACGCCCGCTGCGGACACGTGTGACGTGACGGCAGCAGGCGGACGGGGTGTGAACTGTGAACTGGCTCGACCGAAAATTGTTTAAGTTATCACAGCGTGTGTAACTGACTAACATACCTATGGGCATACCCATTGAGCGGATAATGCGTTCGTGTGCATTATCGTGTTTGCATTTATTCCCGATATACTCTGGTGGGAGATGTGAATTGGAAACCAACTTGGTGCTACGACACCGTTTAGTAGGCATGTGGCACGTCGTTTCTCGAAGACTTCCTATCAGTCTATTATTGTAAACATTGTGTGTCATCTTTCACCTTAGTTGTCATTTGAACCTGTGTTAAATTCTGAACCTCAGACCGGAACAGACTAGGAAATCGCACGCGAAATTCATTAAGTTGCAATAGCATCAATCACACGCAAGTAGGTGCGTGCTATGGATGCGAGTGCGACCGGGGTTTATTTGAATAGGCTCTCGGTCTCGCACATGATTTCTGACTGCGGAAAGAGTCGGTTTCAGCCTCTACTCAGTATGCATTTCGCTCATGCGACGGCAAATATAAGTTCAATACGGAAACAGTTTTTTAACGAAACGGCGTATGGTAAGCTTATAATCCTGGAATGCTTCTTGAAAGAAATTTTAAATGATGCAGATGTTCGTTAATCGATATGACAGCATTTGTCTTGATCTTTATAAGTCAGTCAAAATGGCTGTAGTAATGATTCGGATGTTTCACGGCGAACGGCACATTCCCTGTGCCGACGACTGAGTCCGAATGCTTAAGATGATCAGCAAGAGGGCAACCCGAGTGATAGACAAAGTCGTTTGATCGAAGGTATTTGCAGGCAGAAGGCGCCTGGCCTGGCCATGAGAGCTAACAATACGACGTGTTGAGGTAAAATCAGCCAGTCGCGCTCGGCAAACGACCCATGCACACCATTCTTTCCAAAACGATAGAGAGTATATGGAACCGCCCTGTACCACTCTTTCGGGACCCAACACTGTTGGCCGATGCCCAACTTAGCCGCGGCTGGTTAAGGCCATGTAACTTGCCGGTCATTTTCGGACTTTGCTGGTATTGACCGCTGCCTGACTGGGCGGCGGCGGCGGGCTGTCCTTAGCAGGGACCAGTTTGCTCGATAGGTGGCAGCACTTTCGGGCGGTCGCGCAGTACAATGGGAATTCCGCGGAGTTGCCGATCCAGGTAGTAGGTAATCCATGGTATGCCTTAGCTCCCAGCGCGCTGCAGCGCGCGCAGTGCAGCGTCGGGCGGTGAAACAGGGCCCGGGCTCAAAGGCTTCTTCGCTTCTCTTGGCCACGGTAGGTACCGTAAAGTGGGGCTATTTGAGACAGTGGGGCTATTTGAGACAGTATTTAAAATCGCTATAAAATGAAGATCGTTTGATTTTTGTGTGATATTTTTGCTCAGGGAGGTGTGGAATCGAGCAGTAAATCGGCTGAGCAAAAAATTAAGCATGAATTTTAAGTGATTTTTATTTTATAGCGATTTTAAATAGTGTCTCAAATAGCCCCACTGTCTCAAATAGCCCCACCTTACGGTATATTTATTTTTATTATTACTGTATGCATGTATTTGTATGTATGTATTACTATATGTATTTTACCCCGTTCGCCAATGGGATAACGACCACGTGTACTACGAGCTACCAAATTGGTATATAGCAATCTTGCCGGTTTTTCTACTAAATCTTCATCAGCTTTAAATGCTTCTTTTAATTTTTGTTTGCAAAATTAGTGTGCAGTAATGAGAGGTGCAATGAACATGCAAAGATAAAATTTCATGCGAGGTCAAATATTCAGGCAAGCGCCAAAAATATGTGCTTGAAATGTGTATTAGAAAGCAAACTGAAAATGTTTAGTAGAAAACAGTTAAGAACATAGCGAATGTGGCGCAACAGGTTCAAAACTAGCGCATTGCCATTCGCCGGCGGGTTATGTGATGAGTGGGATGATGCTGTGTTATTAAAATATTTATTAGTTATTGCCTTTTTCCTCAAACTTCTCAGTACGTTTTTCCTAGGGTATGTTGAGACAATTTTCTTTCGTGATCTACCTAACAATTTCTTTTTGTGCTGCCTGATTTAGTGAAAAGTTAAGGATATAGGTACGGTCCTCCATCAAAAGAGTGGGTGGTTAGCCTATGTTGATGTGCTTTTGGTGTGATAACTTTGAATGACAGAGACACCCCTGTAAAATGAATCAATAGAAATGAGAAGAGGGTTCGTGCACACACTTTGGCAATGGTTTTCAACAGCCATTAGACATATTCATCAATGCAGATCACTTATTGTGATGTTGGCAACCAACTACTGAATACCTGGCGAGCTGTACTATAGGTTATGTGTCACTTGTAGAGATTTTAATGAAATTTTGAATGGTTCACCTTTCCAGACATGTCATTGTGAGAGCATGTAAATCTATTTGGTACTTTATCCTTAATCTTGAAACCATTTAATCCATAGGTGTTGTTTTAATCAAACAGCTCCATTTCATTTTCAAGGGTTTCAAATTGCATCATCTAGTCTAGGATGGTAGAAATTAGAATTGAACTAAAACCTGTTGTTGCTTTCAGGCAATGCAACGTTTGCTCCTCCTGGCAGTTTGTTGCTGCGCATTGGCAGCAGCTGCTCCCAAGACATCTGCTGCTCACAAAGGCCGTACAGTGGAAAAGGTAAAAGTCCAGGCGTGGTCTGCCTTTTAATGAATTTTCTTTTTTACTATGAATAGGAGGGCTAGATGATTGAGTCTATATATGTTTTGGTGTTTCTGACTGACTCTGACTCTAGAAATTTGCTCAGACTGACTGATGACTCCAGCTTAGCCTCCAGACATTGCTGCTTAGGGCCATTTTGATTTGCTACAAATAAAGCTCATTTCTGATTTCTTTTTATTTCCTGAAACTACTCTTTGCATGCTCCAAGGCCTTTCATTGCACTTATATCTCATAAAAAGCATGCATACCTAAATGCAGGTTCTGGCTGAGCCACTGGCTTCCTCTGTTTTTTAAATGAAAATGCTCTGCAAAAATTGGAATTACCTTTGCTTTGATAAAATCTGATTTTGAAAGGTCATCGAGGCCGAGGGTTATGTTCTCAAGTAAACAGGTAAAGGGCACAACTTTGTGCCACGCAGTCTTAACTCCAATTCCAGACTCTGTATTAGTAAGATTTTGGTGACTCAACTCCAACTCCAACTCTGGTCAGAACCAGTCAGAACTATTTACTGCAACTGACTTCTCTGCAAAGTGCAACTCTGATGAATAGTAGTTACCTATCATTGCTTGCATGTAGGTAGTTGATCTAAACTGAAAATAATGCCACTTGCCCAGCCACATTTTACAAATACATTTTCTTCTTTTTATTTTTCCAGTTTTTGAATTTAAAGTAAATGCTTGTAAGCCAGCAGTTATGCCGACCAAATAAGATAAACTGAGCTGGCCCAACCTAGTTTAACCCAATGAGCAACATTTGCTAAAGCATATGTCCATTTGTGATGTACATGTCAGTCATGTCAATTGTCATGTCATAGGTGCTAATTAATTAGCACCTCCACACCATAAACAGCAGTAACTAGTAAACATTTGTTTGTTATCCAGCTGATGGTTGAAGTTAGATTTATCCCAGCATAGTGGTCCAATTGTTAACCTGTTGCAGTGTGCCTAAATTTTGGAAAAGAAAATGAAAATTTTCCTGCCCAATTTTGTCATCAGAGCTCCTAGGGGCTTAACCTGTGCCCCGCTTCGGCTCCTAGATTTCCACGATTTGCTGGGGGCAGGGCAAGGCTCTATAAGGGCAGGGTGTACTTCAAACACAACTTGTGTTTGAGCAGTGAACACCCCCTTTCGAACTCGGATCCAGGGCCACGTTTCGGTAGGCGGAATTCGAAAGTGTCAAAAATAATGACGAAATCACTTCAGTCATTTTCTAGTTCAGGTTAAAGGTCATGTCACCATGGGTTATTGGAGGTCAAATTTAGACTATTTCGACACTTTGTCGACAAATTGGCGCATAACTCCGGAACGATCAGAGCTACAACGCCGCGGAAAAGCACATTGGATACCTTTTTAACGATCTTTCTCGATAATGATCTCATATTTGACCTCACCTAACGTCAACAGTTTGGAGAAAAAAGACCAAAATTGATTATTGATCTGTTGCAGAAACATTTTATTTTCTGCAATAACCTTTGACTCCTAACTAACACATTTATTTTGTCGGTATCGTGTTCTCGTCGAGACGCCTTGTTATGCGCTATGAGTTAACCACAAGAATAAGTAGCACCATCGTTTTCCTGAGCTCAAACTGCATTCGACAGCAGGCACCAAATTCTTCAACTTGTCCAAAAATTTCAACTCGTAAATTTGACCTTGTTTGAACTGATTGTGAATTGCCCTTTATTTTGACTAGCTGGAAATGACATCGGATGGCACAGACGACTCTTATTGAATCTATGGCTAAATTGTACCATGTGACTATTTTCTTTTATTGTGTATCTACTCATGAAAGTGTATCTCTTAAACTGTATTGAGTTACACCCCTCCTTTTTTAGAAACTCAGTGATGAAGAGCACTTTGTCGAGGGCGAAGAACACAATCCAGACTATGATCATGAGGCATTTTTAGGAGAGGAAGCCAAAGAGTTTGATGAACTCACGCCGGAGGAAAGCAAGGAACGACTAGCGTGAGTATGATTAGTATTATGGTCTTATTAGACAACTTCATTGCTAGCTGTGTTGCAAAATTACAAAACCTCATCTTTCCTTTTAACCCAGGAATAATCAACAAGCTACTTGCACGTTCAATAAGCTAAGTTTGGATGTTTTGGACAATTGGATTGACGCGAGCCTCAGAGCTAGGCTAAGTGTGCTATGCTGATCAGCTGACCTCTATTGTAGATTGTTATAGTGCGGGCTGCTGGGACCACGAAGAAGGTGAAGTTAAGTATATCCATTTAGCCGGACTCGATTCGTCACACTCACTAATTTTATCTGACCGCGGCTTGTCTGGCCATCTACCTGGGCCCTGTTTCACGGCGGAGCGCTGCAGTGCGCTGCGCGCGTCGGCGCGTTGGGTTTCCATGGCAATATCAACAAACTTCCCTCTGACGCAACGCTATGACGTCATCGCAAAACGCTAGCACCGCGGCCCCAGCACCATCCGCACGCTAGCAGTATTCGCACTCAAACTTTTGTTCAATTGGTACTAGGTTCTTCAAGTTCTCTGTTTGAAACGCGATTTACCATAAAATTTACCATACCATAAGGTAACGGATCGCATGCAACGTCATTCGAGTGACGTCAGGGGTATGCCTCAGCTCCCAGCGCGCTGCAGCGCGCGCAGCGTCGGGCGGTGAAACAGGGCCCGGCCATTCCCCCTTTAGGAGACACCGCAGTCCGCACACTGGGCCAGCGGCCCGGAAAAGCGCTAGAAATTATTTGTGATTGAATTATTGATCTCAGTGACAAGCAAACATGCTAAAAATGAAGTGGGGTTGTTAAACCCTCGCCGGACTTATTGCCGGACCCCCCCCCCCCCATATCGGCCGGCCGAGGGGGAGGGGGTTGATAAATTGGTAAGACCCCCTTTCGCCTTTTCGCCGCTAATGGAGCTAGAGCCTCGCGGAAAAAAACAAGCGTGTCTGCCGTTCAAGACGCAGCGATTGGTACCCGATTTTAACCCTCGCAATCGCATGTGTGCGGCGTTTGCCAGCGTCTGACGTGTGTGTGTGGGTGGGGGGGGGGGGGGGAGGGCGGTCGGTTGGACCCCCTGCCGTTCGGCCCCTGATTGAGTTAGAGCCTCGCGGAAAAAGAGCGTGTTTCCCGTGACGAGAGGAAGCCGATGATACCAAATTTTAAAGTCATAGTTCATTGGTTGACCTTCCAGGTCAGGTCAATAAAATCGGGACCTGCTAGACCTTCGTAAAGGGAAGCTGTTATGGTTTTTCTGGGCTCTGATCACGAATTCCAAGATAGTTTTGATCCCAGATGATGTCTTCATGCATTTAAGGCCGCCCCACACTGCACCCGAGTTTTCGGGTTTCTTCAAGGCTAAAGAACACATTTTACGTTAAGTGACCCACATTGCCATTTCAAAAGCGAGTCCGCAAGCAGTAAGCGTTTGACTTGCGAGCCAGTAGCCACCTCGCCTCACATTCCAAAAGTTGACTTTGAGTCAAATCTCGGTTTTCCTCGCTACCAGGGCTGCGTGTTTTGATGAGTTTTGTTGATGTCTGTCGTTGGTTCGTTGTGCTGTTATTTGAAGGTTTATCGGCTTCACACATGGATTGAGCATAAAAAATGGTGTTCTCACTTCATGAATGAGTGTGATACCCGCAACCCCAAACCCGCAGACACGCAACCCACATGCGAGGTCCAGTGTGGGGCGGCCCTTAGGCCAGATCGGGTCAGGTCATTTGATGTCAATCAGTAGCGGTCCTGCCGGGCCTTCATAATAGGTGTCAGCCACCACTGAGAGCTTCGTAGCATGTTACGAAGGCACCAAAACTACTTCGTAAATGTTCAAATGCCCAATTCGAGATCTGAGGCCAGTTTTACCAACATAAAAATAGCGACCTGCCGGAATTTTTTGCCTAAAAGACCGCTTCACATACGGAGCGTAAACGGTAAAGCCCTACCCGCTTACGTGCCCATTGCGTTTACGTTCCGTATGTGAAGCGGTCTTAACCCTCGCCGGACCTATCGGTTTTCTACATACGCGCCGGCCGAGGGGGGGGGGGGGTACGACCCCCGTCGCCGTTTCGCCCCTGGTGGAGCTAGCGCGTCGCAGAAAAAAAAAACGAGCGTGTGCGCCGTTACGAGACGCAGAGATTGATACCCGATTTTAAGGTCCTAGGTCAACCGGTGACCTCTGAGGTCAAGTCAAGTGCTCCAAGGTACGGTTCAGTTTTTGGTGATTAACTTCGCAAAAAACGATCGCTGAGCGGCGATTTTGGCAGCATCGTGTTCGTCTCGCTCAGGCGCGTCGAATGATATACTTTTTGTTTGGGTGAGGTCAACTTTGGGCGTTGACCTCAGGTCATGGTCCGGTCAGCACCCCCAGGTCACGAAATCGGTCGAAGTAGGTCATGTCGCATATCATTCGATTCGGCAGGTCTTCCTGAGTCCATTGGTGGCTTTCCCGACTCGCTAGCTCTTTGATCGGGAGTTATTGACAAAAAACTAAAATGACCCTATTGACGTCATAAATGACGTCACGCAAGGTCAACATTGCAAAAGTGACTCATCTAACCTTGCAAGGAGTGCACTAAATCACAATTCTGTGTGCTTGAGATAGTTGGAGACCGTTCCCGGCGCCAGAATAGCAGTTTTCATTTTTGCCCATTGACTTTTACCTAATGGTGAGGTCACGAAAATGACCTGACCTCATATGACCTTTAGGAAAAATCCGAGAAATACAAGCTGTGAGACTAGTAATGGATATTAGATCCTGCAAGTTTCATTTCCCTGTGAAAGCTACTCTGGCAGTGAGGGCGTTGCGAAGTTGCGACATCTGAAGACCGTGCAGAGGTTCACTTATGACGTCATAGGTCAGTGACCTGACCTGACCCGAAAATGCGGTTGGTGTCACAAGATCCGGCTTGAATCAAAGGTCAGGTATGCCAAGTTTCAGCTCTCTATCGCCAGCGCGTTCACTTCAGAGCTATCGCGAAAAAACCCTATGGTGGGGGGGGCACCCGCCCCCCCCCCGTCGGCCGGCGAGGGTTAAAGTGATCATCCCACCTTAACATTTGTTTTGAGTTGAGATAGCCAAAATGGGGTCCCTGGCTTGCACTTATCGGTTTGAGGCTTGCGCTCACAACATCGAGAAATGCCTCAAATCGCAAATATCTAATTTCAAAGTTGTAGCATTTAGATTCAGAGGGGCTAATGCATTTGAATGCCCCTTCTGAACGTGTGACGTCAGCGCAGATCTAACGATTTTAAATCTTTTACTAAAACGTTTAGTAGCACGCGGTGGTATATGCTGCTTTGCGCGCAACAAGTGCCGTACTTTCAGCTGCCAAACTATTGCTTCCAAATAAAGTCGCTAGGAACAGCGGAGATCGCTGAAAGTAAACAAAAGTAAAAGTCAAATATATCGAAAACCGGTGAATATTTTTTCGGTGAAATTTGGTAGCTATTCGTTTTCGCTCTTTCTGAACCGAGCGACATCACTTTCACGCCGATTCAGTAGGTAACTTTTTTTGAAGGTGGGAGGGTCCTTTTAATGGGGGCTTGGTTCCTAATTGAAGTAATAATATCTGACCGATCGTATTGACCGTCCTGCCATATGGTGAATGGGTTTTAGGTTGATTTCAATAGTTGATGTCAACTGGGTACATCCAAGGTCAATAAACGATATGTCGGATTTAGATTTTCAGTACCTAAATAAGTTCGGCAAGCCGGTCGCAGCGCAAATATTTTGAACCATCACGTTTGCCATGTCCGTCAAGACAGCATTCAGCCCAGATTCAGCCCGGATTCAGCCCAGATTCGGGACAGCTCCGATCAGGCTGAAACTCGCACACAGTGTAGGCCATGACATGCCCAATCCACAGTCCGAGTCATTCGGCGGCACTCCCAGCCGTTTGACCTACAGAGGTCAGCAAAGGTCACGTGGCCCAAGTTTGCACAGCAGATTGTGGCCCACCCAGTAGAGCTAGAGCGCTAAAAATGGCACCAATCGACTCGCCAGCATCTAATCTTACTTTCCCAATACTCATTTGACCTCTCAAGGTCATGCGAAGACCTAAGGTCATTTGTGGGCTAGGTATGTCGAAAATACACTTGCACAGCAGTTTTCGAGTAGAGGGATTGACCGAATTTCAAATCAAAGCACATCATCGGGTAGCCCATAGGCCGTAGTAACTTTCCTTAAAAACCGCTTCTCGATATGTGACCCCGTTTGACCTCGGCAGGTCAAAATGTACAAATAAACGACAGTCCATACGTCGCAGTCCGGATTCAGCCCAGATTCGGGACATCTCTGATCAAGCTGAAACTCGCAAACGATGTAGGTCCTGGCATGCCCAATCCACAGTCCAAGTCATTTGGCGGCACCTTCAGCCGTTTGACCTACAGAGGTCAGCAAAGGTCACGTGGCCAAAATTTGCACAGCAGATTGTGGCCCACCCAGTAGAGCTAGAGCGCTAAAAATGGCACCAATCGACTCGCCAGCATCTAATCTTACTTTCCCAATACTCATTTGACCTCTCAAGGTCATGCGAAGACCTAAGGTCATTTGTGGGCTAGGTATGTCGAAAATACACTTGCACAGCAGTTTTCGAGTAGAGGGATTGACCGAATTTCAAATCAAAGCACATCATCGGGTAGCCCATAGGCCGTAGTAACTTTCCTTAAAAACCGCTTCTCGATATGTGACCCCGTTTGACCTCGGCAGGTCAAAATGTACAAATAAACGACAGTCCATACGTCGCAGTCCGGATTCAGCCCAGATTCGGGACATCTCTGATCAAGCTGAAACTCGCAAACGATGTAGGTCCTGGCATGCCCAATCCACAGTCCAAGTCATTTGGCGGCACCTTCAGCCGTTTGACCTACAGAGGTCAGCAAAGGTCACGTGGCCAAAATTTGCACAGCAGATTGTGGCCCACCCAGTAGAGCTAGAGCGCTAAAAATGGCACCAATCGACTCGCCAGCATCTAATCTTACTTTCCCAATACTCATTTGACCTCTCAAGGTCATGCGATGACCTAAGGTCATTTGTTGGCTATGTCGAAAATACACTTGCATAGCAGTTTTCGAGTAGAGGGATTGACCGAATTCCAAATCAAAGCACATCATCGGGTAGCCCATAGGCCGTAGTAACTTTCCTTAAAAACCGCTTTTCGATATGTGACCCGGTTCGACCTCGGCAGGTCAAAATATACAAATAAACGACACTCCATACGTCCCAGCCCGGATTCAGCCCAGATTCGGGACATCTCCGATCAAACTGAAACTTGCACACGATGTAGGTACTGACCTGCCCAATCCACAGTCCGAGTCATTCGGTGGCACTCCCAGCCGTTTGACCTACAGAGGTCAGGAAAGGTCACGTGGCCCAAATTTGCACAGCAGATTGTGGCCCACCCAGTAGAGCTAGAGCGCTAAAAATGACACCAATCGACTCGTCAGCATCTAATCTTACTTTCCCAACACTCATTTGACCTCTCGATTGGTGCCATTTTTACTGGGTGGGCCACAATCTGCTGTGCAAATTTGGGCCACGTGACCTTTCCTGACCTCTGTAGGTCAAACGGCTGGGAGTGCCGCCGAACGACTTGGACTGTGAATTGGGCATGTCATGGCCTACATTGTGTGCGAGTTTCAGCTTGATCAGAGATGTCCCGAATCTGGGCTGAATCCGGGCTGCGACGTATGGACTGTCGTTTATTTGTACATTTTGACCTGCCGAGGTCAAACGGGGTCACATATCGAGAAGCGGTTTTTAAGGAAAATTACTACGGCCTATGGGCTTTGATGATGTGCTTTGATTTGGAATTCGGTCAATCCCTCTACTCAACTGCTGTGCAAGTGTATTTTCGACATAGCCCACAAATGACCTTAGGTCATCGCATGACCTTGAGAGGTCATGCGACGTATGGAATCTGGGCTGAATCCGGGCTGCGACGTATGGACTGTCGTTTATTTGTACATTTTGACCTGCCGAGGTCAAACGGGGTCACATATCGAGAAGCGGTTTTTAAGGAAAATTGCTACGGCCTATGGGCCGTATTGGTCAATTCCTCTACTCGAAAACTGCTGTGCAAGTGTATTTTCGACATAGCTCACAAATGTCCTTAGGTCATCACATGACCTTGAGAGGTCAAATGAGTGTTGGGAAAGTAAGATTAGATGCTGGCGAGTCGATTGGTGCCATTTTTAGCGCTCTAGCTCTACTGGGTGGGCCACAATCTGCTGTGCAAATTTGGGCCACGTGACCTTTGCTGCCCTCTGTACAGGGTGTAACGAAATTATCCGGACATCAATTTTTTCGCCGTATCCGTTCGCATTGCTTTCTTTCTGACGATAGGAGCGAGGAAGTTAGATAAATTCGTACCTATGGTTCCGGTCATCACCACCAGGGTGACCTGACCTTGGGCGGTGACCCATGCCGTCAGTACGGGTCGAGCCACCGCCGGTGTCACTTGGCAGTTTTCGTTCAGAGCAATGACGAGAAAAGAGTACAGCCTCTCCTTTCGCAGCAAAGCTGTGGGGATGGTCCATGGCGGCATGAGCCAGAAGATGGTCTGCCAGCAGCTGGGTATCAGCAGGAGCCAGCTGCACGTCTGGCTGAAGCGTGATAAGCTGGGACTTGGGCTGCAAACCCAGCCCGGCCGTGGCCGCAAGACCGCCCTTCACCCAGTGGCCAAGAGGGTTATCAGGATGGCGACGGAGAAAACGTCACCAATCAACTCGAAAACTGGCTCGTAGGCTTACCAAGGCAGGGTACAAGACGTCCCATATGATGATTCACCGCTACCTGCGCAACAACCTGGCCATGCGCCCGTTCAAACTGAAAAGGACGCCAAAACTGACTGAAAAACAACAAGCTCACCGACTGAAGTTCGCTCGAGAGCACCTGCACTGGTCGGAGGAAGAATGGCGGAAGGTGGTCTGGTCGGACGAGTCACCGTTCGAGCTATTTCATCCTCCGAACCGCCAAAACGACCGTGTGTGGGCGGCCAGCAGCTCGGACGTACCGACGGTCCCCAGCGTGAAGCATCCGGCCAAAATCCACGTCTGGGGCATGTTCAGCTACCGTGCGCTGTCCCAGCTGCATGTGGTGCCCCAAAAAACGACCATCAACGGCGAGTACTATCGGAGCAACATCCTGGCCAACGAATGTCTGGAGGCGCTCAACCGGATTGCACAGGAGGGCCCGGTTTCCAAACGCGCGCTGATGCCCGATCCAAGCCAAGCGGTGTTCATGCAGGACGGCGCACCGCCTCACAGCGCCAAAAGGACTCAAGACTGGTGCCGTGAGAACCTCCCATCCTTCTGGGCCAACGGGGCGTGGCCTGGGAATAGCCCTGACCTCAATCCCATTGAGAACTTGTGGGCTATTCTCCAGCAGGAGGTGAATCAGAAGCCACCCGCCACCAGCACGGATCACCTGGAGACACAGGTCAAGACGGCGTGGCGCCGGATCAAAAGCAGTGTGCTGGAGAGTCTAGTGGCTGGGATGCCCCAGCGCATGAGTGACTGTGTTAAGATGAACGGTGGCTACATCGGTAAATAAACGAGAAAGCCCCCGACTGTTTTGTTCTCTAATAAGAGCGGGAAGAACGATGTCCGGATAATTTCGTTACACCCTGTAGGTCAAACGGCTGGGAGTGCCGCCGAACGACTTGGACTGTGGATTGGGCATGTCATGGCCTACATTGTGTGCGAGTTTCAGCTTGATCGGAGGTGTCCCGAATCTGGACTGAATCCGGGCTGAATCTGGGCTGAATATGGGCTGTCTTGATCAACATCACGTTTGCCATCTGTCGTTAAAATGGTTAAGGACATAGAAAGGTGGTTGCCTTTCTACCACTAATTGTGAGTCGATTCAAAGTTGTAAATTGTAATGAATTGTGAGAAGCGTTTAAAAGCCTTGCTTTAAATCGTTGGAGTCGTCGACATTATTATCCTTAAAAGGTGATGCCTAGATCGTAAAAATGACATGAGCCTAGGACTAGATCTAAGGTATATTTAGAATAATACGTTTCGCGCCTTTAACGTTTTTATACCGATAGCTGGGACGCCCAGGGTAATCGCTTGACTAATGTTGATGATAATTCGCAGCATTGATCTTTGGGTGATCACGTGATACAGAAGACGACAACCCAGACAGCCAAAAATGCTAAGCTATATTTAGTTACCTATCGGAAGCTCCAATATTCACAAGCATTGCAGGAGAAATATATTCACTCCGGTATCGTAACAACTTCGAAAAGTTTAATGATATATGTATTCGGCATAGAAAGGGCGGAATTCCTGGATGAGTCGTCTTTCTCGCGAAAGCTAACAAATCATGTCAGAAGTAGCACGCATTGGTCCCTCTGGAAAACTCTGGGCAAAGGATGTCAGTGAGTGATGATTTCGTTCAATTCGTAGGTGTTTAACGTCCGTGTCTGGTTCGAAAACTGATCATAGGCGTGGTGGGATTGTAGCCAAGCGGTAGGTGTCTGGGGATAGGATCCGGCGCCGCTCGATACGCGAGGCTCTTGACGGGGAGGGTCTGCGCCAGCTGGCCGGGCCCTGAGCCACTGAACTATCGAGTGGATGGATTGAACCCTGCTATATGGGCACGCGAAGTTTGACTGCAACATAGATCCTGTCGACATCCCGGGATTTTATGATCAGAGTCGCTTCACTCGTTAGCGTAGTCAGTCCGGCTTTTAAAAAATAATCCGGTTTCGGTAAAAGTTGTCTGGTATTGTTGTATTGCGTTTTTTCTAGTGCTCCATCTGTCTCCGTGCTGTGATTGTCACTGAGCTGATGTTCGCTCGCAGGCTGATCTACGACAAAATCGACGCAAACCGTGACGGGAGGCTCACGGAGGAAGAGCTGACCAAGTGGATAAAGTTCACTCAGGGCAAATACATCAACGAGGACGCTGAGCGACAATGGCAGGTGGGCTGAGCGCGAGGCTGCCGCTGGGCATAAATATATTTAGCAGAGGCATCTCGCCGAACAGGGTGATGTTTTTGGAGCTCCCGTTGTCAATATACAGTAATGATGGCTCCTGACGATCGGAAGCTGATGAACGTCAGACCTATCAAATTTCACGTTTTAAAGGTAGTGTGCCAGCTTTCCTGGACCGTATGGAGTTAGTGGCCCAGATAAGGAGAACCGGATTTTTAGAACTTATCCATACCTTCAAAACTCATGGAAACGTCTTAAATTCTTCAAATTTTGAGTACCCCAGTGCGAAATTCGCCCCGACGGGTTGTCGGTCGTACCCCAACCACATTTCACACCACTATGAACAATAAATGCACACACTGAAATCGCTATTACCGATATGCTCATCCAATCAAGTTTCGATAAACCCGTTCATCATCATCTCCTGCGGTTTCGAACACGCCTGTTAGGTGGTGCGGTAGACCGCGCCCATAGCCAGGGCCCCGGTAACGTGAGGTAGCCGAGTCGGGGCAGCGTGCGCTGACCCAAGCCGGGGCCGCGCGTCCTCCCGGTGTCATGTGATAGCCCGGGGCTGCCCGCGGGAATGCGGTAGACCGCGCCCAAAGCTGCGGCCCCGGCTGCGAGTTACCTAAAGCCCTTGTTACACTGCCGAATTTTGGCACACGAATGTGCACGAATATGCAAGTCATCCTATGTCGCGGATCGATTCGGGATCTTTCTTCCACGGTCTTGGCATTTCGCAGACCAGTCGGTGCCCACCGCGCGACTTTTACGGTTCGTCACGACCGCCACGAAAATTTCATGAAAAATGAAAATTTCGTGGCCGTTCGCCGAACTTATAATAAACGAACATGATCGCCAAACACTCGCCGAGTCACCGCCGACATGTCGGTACGTGCGCCGAATTGTTGCCAAGGTATCGCCGACTATTCGCAACAGATTCGCCATTAATTCGCGATGTTCGCCGAATCATGGATCAGCTTCGACCCGCGCACGATTAGGGGGCCCCCCACCCGTTGTCTGCAAATCGGGCTCTGTCGGCGAACTGTTCGCCAGGGAAAAAGGGGTTGAGACTTGAGCAGTGAATTATAAGCCTGTTGCATAGCTGAGTGGTAAATTGTAAAATACTTAAGGTTTGAAGAGATGCAGTGTAGTTTAGCCGACTCAGGGGCATTCTGCCGAGTTATGTAAGGCGGAAGGGTCGCAACTCGCAAGTCGTTTGTTTACATGATTGCCTGATTAAAATGTAAAGCGTACCTAATGTTAAGTTGATAATACAGCGAGGTTGGGCATCTGCTCAATCCATTTCTTCTCTGCAATAGTGCATTCGCCACTGTAATTCATTGTAAGAGGCACTGGGCTGCGCCGCCTGTTAATTATTCCGAAACCACCAGTGAATTGTCACAGTCACTCACAACAATACGAATCGTTCAGTCGTGCGCTGGGGGTCCGCCAAGTTTGAGTGTGCTGCAGAATGCAGACTGGACCGCCGAGAATATAACACTTCCGTCTCCCTGGGCGAGCGGCGCATTGGAGCCGAAGGAAACTGCTTCAGTTTTTTTGTGGGGAAGATACCCATGTTTGAAAATTATGTTCTGGAATGATGCGATAAGGAAAAGGACGGTTTCTTGAATTGAGGGCTGTGGAGAAGAAGCAGATTTTCTCATTTGCTACCCGATACAACGCGAAAAGACGCAAATGTTGCACATTGGGCTTAATAAGTCTAATAAAAGATAAGGGACTTCGTGAATCATGCCTAACTGACCGCGACCCAGTTATTTGCCACTGCAGGTAGGTACTAGGTAGGTAGAAGATACTCATTTGTAAACAGAGCGTTCCACCAACCCTCGCCAGAAATTCAATCAGCAGTTGCTTATCTTAAAACGTTTGAGTGCACCTAACAACCCTTAAAAATGACGTCCTCCCTTTCAGTGGTTCGTTCGAAGACACAAAGCCAGAATCAGCCAAGCAATATCGGAATCCATTGCGCAGTGTGTCGACTGTCGAATGTGCCCATCCACATAGCATAGCACACACTGCTAAATGCAGGTACGCTCACCTACACATTAGGTATTCGAAGGACTTGATAGCTCATACACATGGAAGAAACGCATGAAATGTGATTAATAGCTGCAGCAGAAGTTTGGCGTCCGATGCCTCTTCGCCAAGTTAAGACCATTCCAATCTCGGCCAGTCTGCCGCCGCGCCGGCACTGGCCGTGGTGTGACGTCATCCGGCCGGCTCGGCGCTGGGTAGTTCCACACTTAGGTAACTCGCGCCCCGGCTTGGGTCAGCGCACGCTGCCCCGACTCGGCTACCTCACGTTACCGGGGCCCTGGCTTTGGGCGCGGCTTCTGCTCATACTTTGTGGTGCGGTGGTGGTCCGTCGGGCCGCGCGCTCTGACTTCGGCCAAGAAAAATGCGTCAGCTGATCATTGTCATTTCTGCCACTTGCGTGTGGTGAAATGGGGTCATAACTTAACCCTCGCATGTGTGCGGCGTTTGCCAGCTTCTAATGTGTAGGGGGGGGGGGGTCGGTTGGACCCCCCCTTGCCGTTTGGCCCCTGATCGAGCTAGAGCTTCGCGGAAAAAACGAGCGTGTTGCCCGTGACGAGCGGAAGCCGATGATACCCAATTTTAAGGTCCTAGGTCATTGGTTGACCTTCCAGGTCAGGTCAATGACCCAAAGTCGGGAAAATCGGGACCTGTTAGAAAGTCGTAAAGTGTGGCTGCTAAGGGGTTTTTCGGGGTGCTGATCACGAATATCGTGTTAGTTTTGATCACAGATGATGTCTTGAAGCATTTAGACCAGGTCGGGTCAGGTCAGGTCAGGCCAACTAGTAGGCGTCGTGACGGGTATTCGTAGTACGTGTCAACCGCCTCTGACAGCTTCGTAACATGTTACGAAGTCACCAAAACTACTTCGTAAATGTTCAAATGGTTGCTAAATTCGAATTCAGCTCCAAAAACTAGCCTAGAAACATGTAAAACTTGAAAAAGTGACCCGAGGTCACCCGAGGTCACCAAAGGTCAATGACCTGACCTGACCTTCAGGTGACCTTGACACACACGGGAGTAACATCAAATCACATGTTGGAACGTTTGAAACCACGAAAAGCTTGCAAACACGCGGCTAGTGCGAGCCGACATACGCGAAATCGCGATTCCGGCCAAACATGGTCTCGGAAAAGAGGTCACAGGTCAAAGGTCATTAGGGTCAGGGTCATGAAATTTTCAGGGTAGGTGTAAAATTGATCAATGCGAGGGTACTGAAAGTTTCGTCGCGATCGGCCGCTTTTTACGCGAGTTATTCGCGAAAAACCATGGGGGGGTCCATCCGACCCCCCCCCCCCTACACATGCGAGGGTTAAGAGACGGCTTTTTCATATCAATTATTTTACATAAAATCATATTTCAAACCATAAATAATGTTCGACAGCCAAATAAAAGAAACAATACCAATACAGGCTTACCGTTTCAGGCTCGACATTGTGTTGTCTACGATTAGACAGCTGATAACTCATTCCCGTACGTCGTAACTCTATAATGACCTTTGCTTATTGTCACATGTGCGCCGCATTCGCGATTGTTGCCGACGCCTGTTTGCAGGTGAGCCCACTACAGTTGTTATACATATCGAAAAACCGATAAACTTTTAGGCGAAAAAGGCACTATTCCAGGCCCATTTTTGATTTTTTTGCGATATTAGGTAAAAACAGAAGCTTCTTATCCTAGGAAAAATAAAATGGGAAATCTTTCAAAGGTGGCACACTAGAGTTCTGCACGGCTGCAATTTTCCACAGCCTAGCCGCCCCGCAGCCGTGGCTCCACAGCCACAGCCGCCCACAGCCGTGGCAAACTGTGGGCAGCCAGCCGTCAGCCGGCCGTGGATACTTTCAATGAAATGCAACCAAATAGTATATAATAAGTTGTTTTTAGTTGAAACATATAGCCAAAAGCACATTGCAATGGGCTATAGATTCTCAAACTCATGAAGCATCATAGGTTAAGTGGTTGTGTATCTGGCTTTAGGCCGAAGGCCTGAAGCCTGATGCGCATCGCATGCCTACACAAGCCCTTGCAAGGGGTTAAGAAAGATGGGTAGGTAGGTACCTACATCAACAGAAAACATAAACAACGAACCAGAATAGAAGCACTAACAGTGTAGACATCTAATGCCAAATCCTGAAGCATGTTTGTGGGACAGAACAACAGACCCTGATGCTTTTCATTATCAATGTTAGGTATGGAAAATGAAACTGAAGTTGATGGACTGTCAAACAGTGATTGTCTAGTCAAAACTCTTGCTTCTTTCTTACCTTGCATATTTTCTGGGGTGTGATATGCCAGGCTTGAAGCAGCCTTCTGAGCAAGTTTCAAACTAATTTGATATGCAAGGCATCAAAACACTAGTGAGCACAAGGCCGAATAGTGAGCATCCAAGAAAGAAAAACATTCATCTATTTTGATTTTTCCAAATAATGATCTTCGCTCAAATCCCCAAGGACGTTCGAGCCACAATTGCCTCTTTCAATCAAAAATTATACTTGAGTTTTTAATGACGTCAATAGCAAAGAAGTGGCAATTAATTGTTTTGTGTCACTATAAACAGCCATAAAAATTATAATTAATAAATAATAATGCTATACAGTTAAAAACTTGCTCTCAAACAAAGATTAATCATCAAATTTTTACATTTTCAGAAGAAGACGTCATTTTTTTAGTAGAGTTAACAGCTCGCGTAAGAAATATTGTGTTCAGGGATCTCACCGTCATGTGAATTACGTGTTCAGGGTTTTCACCATCATGTGAATTAACCGTAAGTAAGGTTCATGCTCACTTATAATATAATTCCATTGGCTTCGTTGATCAGCATTTTCTGTAAGCGGTCACTCACACACCAGTTAGAACATAAAGCGCCAGTTTTATATTATGTAATTGGACTTGCCGAAAATCCAGAAATATATCTACGAGTTATTTTAGATAAT